CCTGCAAGTGCTTGTGTGGTTCCTCCCCTGCCAAGCCATGAAAAGACGGAAATTAATGAATTAGTCTAGATTTAAGTTCAAATGCCGTATTATCGGCTATAGCAGGAAAAGTAATACACAAAGGGTGCTGAATTAAGTCGGGAGTAGCTAGCTCCCTCAAGGTTCTTTGTGCCATTGGATTTATCAAAACTTCTTCAACTTCCTTGGCCTCTTCACTCTCTTCGGAACTATAAGTATCCGCTAGTTGGATAGCTAAGTTAAGTCCCGGTGACTCAACTTCTTTCTCGGCCCTCTTTCGCTCTCTAGCTTCTTTCCTCAAACGGCATGCATTCCTTTGATTTCTGAATCAAACACTAATTCACCTGTACGACCAGTTCGAGGCATAAACCATTAGGCAAAAATTAGAGCTAAATAAATAAAAGAAACAACCAAATATCAAAAATCAAATTACTATTCCCCGGCAACGGCGCCAAAATTGCTAGCCTCGTCAAAGTTGCAAAATAAAGTATCAGTTCCTACACCACAAAAAAACTTGCAAAATGCAGTAGTTCGGTGAGTAGGGTCGTCTCCGCAGGGAACAATAATAATATTGAATATTCGGTTATCTAAAATTATACTATATATATAATGGGGGGGTTGAATTTATCACACTAAAATAAGAGAAAATAAATTCGCTCAACTAAATAAAATAAAATAAAATGAACGGCATATTACCAAAGATGATTAGACTCTAGCATAGGCATGAATTTTTCATTCGGGATATGAAATTTGATCATCGACTAAAAGTCAAATTCACCGACTAGTTGGATAAATTGGTTAAAGTTGATCTACACGCCCTTACTTTTTCAATAGCTAAGGTACGACCGTTAGCTATTTCTCTAATCAGGAAAGAATCCTAGGTATGACCGTAGTTTTCTAACTCGACAGCAGTAAAAACTAGAAAGGCCCAATTCCATTTAACAAGCTCCTACGAGGATTTGTTTAAAAACTGATTTTAATTCTTCCCTAGAGTGTTCTTCTCTAGGTTGCTACGCTAATTGGAAAATTACACAATTTCATATGCCAATCCCAAATATAGCTATGAAATACTAAATTGATACGTGCGCAATAATCAATTCAGGATTTCTAAACTCATCAATTAGAAGAATTAAAAATACCCAACATCGATGAACACCAATTTTAATCGAAACCAAGTCTCACAATTTCAATCCCGAAAATCAATTCATACCTACACTAGAAATGAAACTACTCGCAATCCATAGCAATTAAAAATATAAAATAAATCAAAGAGTTCATCATGCCTTCAAGTTTAAAAATCAATAACAAACCAATTCTAGAAATGAAGAAAAAGGGTGCCCGGAAGTTCTTCTGCGTTGCTCTCCAAAGTTCCCGTACGTAGTGTTCTTCCTTCGCTTCTCTTTTCTCTCAGAAATAGGTTGTAGGTGAGATCGTGGTAGACAACGTGGTAGTCCCCTTCTCTTCTCCTCTTAAATTAAAAAATCGTGTCTCTTCAAGTCCATCCTAAGATCCCCTTTGCACTTTAAATCAAACAATTATAAAATTGCTAATTAACCCCGGAGGACCTTTTTGCAATTTTTATTTTTTTCTACTTCGTGATCACGCGTAAGGACTTCCTGCGTTCTGCTTTTCTCTCCAATATGCCCAAAATTTGCCAACTCCTCAACACCTAGTAGAAAGTTCAAAAACACACCATTAGGTGCATATATACAAAATTTGCATCCAAAAACCGTCTAAAATATAGCAAAATATTTGTCTAATATCGCATATATCAATTTGGCGTGGAAGATACATAAATTTATCCAATCTAAAGGTTTTTGGATGTTCCGTATTTATTTGTGTTTTTAATGATAAGTTGGAACCTAGAACCTTAAAATATATTTTTTAGGATACTCCGAGGGAATTAAGGGTTATATGTTGTGGTTAACTTCTAAACCAAGTTTTTAAACTTTTGTAAGTCGAGATGTTATGTTTAATGAAAATGAAATATCTTATTTGACAAATAATGTGCCAACACTACCAAAAAAAAAAAAAAAGACAGATTACTCATGGAAAAATCCGTGAGTAATTCATGAATAAATTCATTATTCACGAAATTATGTCTGTGAGTATTTTGCTAGTAAATACTTCGTAAGTAATTACTGACGAGAAAATTTGTGAATAATTTTTTAAGTATATTATTCACGATATTACTCACGAAATTCTGTCTGTGAGTAATTTACTCATGTAATTGCCCATGGACTTTGTTCGTAAATAAATTTACTTACAGAACAAATTCTGTAAGTAATTCTGTGAGTTAAAATCAATAAACTTCCTTATTGGCGACACAATGATTCCGTGAGTAATTCTGTTGAACATGTCAATATGATGCTTGAGACGAAATAATTTCCGTGAGTAATTTTTTTAACCCCCAAAAAATTATATGTCGATTTATCCATACCTATCCCAAATCATATATTACGAAAACACAAATTCAAACCATAAAGTAAATTAAACCAAACCAAATATCCAATAAACAAAATATGATCGAATCACATGATATTTATAAGCATAGTTCCATAATCGATGGACACTACAAAAGAATAATAAACATAACCGTACATTTAAAATAGTAGAATCCATATGATATTAATGTTTAAATACTCAAGTATGAAAATCAACAAACAAGTTGCGCACCACCATCGAAGTTGTTGCGGCGCTGTCAGAGGTTTATCTTCTCGAGCTGCTGCATGATCATCAAAGTATCTTAAAATGATCAAACTGTTCCTCTAAGCATGCTAGACGAATCACGTTAGTCGTTGGAGCACCAAGCGTATGACCATCAGTGCATAAAAGCTTTAAAAGATCAAAGACAGTGAATATCTCACAATGAACTGAAGGCATATCCCACAGACTAATAATTTAATTTATTTTTTTATTTTTTTATCATCATAATCATCATAATACAATAGAGAGATTATGCAACTTACACTACATAGAAATAGTCTTAGTTTCATATTATAGAGGAAGACGAAGTGCAAAAAACTTTTGATTCTGATGAATTTTATGAATGTATATATGTATAGTCTCGAGGAAAATTTTGCGACCACATGTAACAACCAAGAAAGAAAGCAATCACGCATGCTTAATGTTAGGAATTTAAGCGCCTAAAGGTGCGATAAAATTGCGGAAGCGGATCGAAACACAATTGAAACACAAGCAAAATATTGCAAAATACGAAAAGAACACAAAATTTATGTGAAAAACCCAAAACAGGAAAAAACCACGGACGATGAGGAATCCACATGCTAATATTTGGAATTATCAAACTTATATGTGATGCAAGTGATAGTGCAGTAGGACCTGTGTTAGGCCAAAAACTTGTACAGAAGCACCATGTTATCCATTATGCAAGTAAGACTTTGGATGGTGCTCAGTGCAATTACACTATACTATAAAGAACTCTTAGAAATTGTCTATGCTTTTTTAAAATTCAAACTCTACTTGGTAGGATCTAAGGCAATTGTAAACACTGACCACGCGACACTCAAGTATCTAATGGACAAGAAATATTCTAAACCGTGTCTGATTTGATGGGTACTGTTACAACAATAATTTAATATTGAGATCAAAGACAAAAAGGAAAGTGATAATCAAGTAGCCGATCACCTTAGTAGGTTACCTGCAGAGGCGTCACCATAAGGTATATATGAATACTTTATTGATGAAGATTTATATTCATTGCAAGGTACTACACCTGGCTCACGGATTATGATAAAGAAAGAGAGGTGAAGTTGCCCACTGCCAAGAGATTACAGCTAGAAAAGATGCTAATTTTCATGCCAGTGGTGTTATGCCTTCATATCTAGATTACAAAGGAATGAAGCATTTTTTGAGCCTGGTCAATCATTATTTTTGGGAGGAACCATACTTATTTCATTTTAGTGGAGATGAAATCATTAGGCGTTGCTTGTCCAATTCTAAGATACCACACATTCTCCATGAATGACGTGGCTAATTCGTAGGTGGTCATTTCGCAACGTAACACACTGTTCCTGAAGTACTCCAATCAAGATTCTACTAGCCAACAATATACCTCGATGCCTGGACATTTTTCAGGAAATACAATGCGTTCCAGAGATTGGGTACCATTAAAAAATGCGATGAAATGCTAGAAAAAGAGAATTATGTGTTTACTGTGCTTGAACTTAACTAGGGCTGCTATGTACGCAGGGCCACGCCCTCTGCTTCAACTCGGGATTTGCTTGTCTTTACTCTACTTCAGTACTGAGGTTGTGACACTCTATCCTTACCTTATCTGTCTGTGCTTTTTTTTCTTTTTTTGGTTCATAGAAAAGAGATGCATTGAACTGTACAGTCGTACTGCATATGATATGGATCTTAATAGATTGCTTCTTGCCTTCTTCACTTTCTTCTAAACCTCACTGATTTCGCTTTTCTGTGGAGGTCTTTGCACAGCACTGCTTCATTGGTTTTCTGCATCTATATGCACTTGTGCGTGGGATCTTCAATTTGGAAGATTGTGGATCCCAACTGGCTACACTGCTAGATTCCATGTTTGTTGCGTGCTCTGCGCTGCTCTCTTTAAATAGAGTTGTTCGATTAGGACTAAAGATGAAAAGATAGATACTTTGCACACTCCTTGGCGGCATATAATCTCCACATGTGCTTGCTTGGTTGCAACGATTGATTGATTGATTGATTAACTCACCCTTTTAGGTTGTATAATTGAGTAGAGAATTGAAAGCCCATTTTGAAAATAAAGAAGAAAGCAGGGGAAGGGGTTTGATCTACTGTAGGTTTTCCTCAGGGTGTAATTCAGCCCCTCCATCATCACATAATACTAAAACTGGTATATATGGTTCTAATTTAGTCCTAAAAGAGAAAATGCATATTGTGAATTAGTGCATGTTTAATTAATGTAGGACTTTGCGCCGTTTTCATTGAAAATTAGTGCATGTTTAACTTATATTTTTTTATAGGAAGTGACCGTGTGTCAACGCAGGCATGTTGTGCTCATTCAGGATACCCAGCTTTGAGTTTAACAAAAGGTCTGCTTTGTTTTTTATGCTATGCCACCGTGTAGCAACTTTTCTGTGATGTTTGTTTATTGGGTGGGTGGTGCAATGAAGTGTTAAGTGCATTCCTACGATTCTGAAACATTTTTTTCCCATCAGATTTCAGAATTATTTCATATTTGTTTTGAAGGGTTTCTACTTGGGGTGTAATCAACATATAGAGGACCCAGGTTCCTTGTCGGCATGATTTTGCCTTTCATGATTACAATGGTAAAACATATGCTTGCCACTTCTAATATTTGTGTGGAGATAAGGCAAGAAATGCATGTAATGTAATATGTTCATAATTAAGTAATTATTTACTTAATTATATTAAATTTGACGTAATAGCATTACATATCCTTCATCTCTAGCATCCACATCGTTGTATTTTCTCCTTAGTTTCACTGTAAAAAATTTAGAATAGTGAGAAATTTGCCTTGTGTCTACAAATGGGCGATCAAAATTTGTGACGGGGAGTAGAAATCCATTTAATACTATTTAGGGGGCATCCATTTAAGGTTTTGAAGTAGGGATGACGGATTATCTTAAACCATGTTGCTTAATGCTACAATAAAGTATAATGCTAGTGTCATATATATAATGCTACGTAATAGTTAACCTTTTTTTGACACGCATGTCATTTCACAAGCTCTGTTTTCGATTTCCGTATGTGGAATCAGTTTACATGGATTAATTGTGGTCTGTATGTTGTGACTTCTTCCTAATATGGTGGTCCATACAGCTTCCTAACGCTTGTGTCTTGCAGGTTATGGCAAAATCTCAACGTGGTGCTGTAGGAGGGTCACAGGATCCGGCTGCCTCTCCCGTAAGACGTTTTACTCGGGCTTCTGCACGCAACAGCCCCGTAGAGGCAGCTAATCGGGCTAGTATAAATCCATCACCTATCCGCAAAACCACGAAGAAAGCAACGAAACGGAAGGGATCTCGGGTCTCACCATTACTCCAGCGACTTCGGTCCATCACATCATAGTGGGAGAAAGAGCGTGATGCTCGTGCTCAAAGCAACAAAACAACATCTTCCACTCGACGGCCAGTGCTCAGGATTCGGAGGGGATTTTGGAGGTAATGTGGCTTCTTACTGGTCCTTATTTGAACTTAGTACAACACTACTATAGGCTGACGCTATTAACCCCAACAGGAATATGATGCTAGGGATATCCCATCAGTCCTTGAACCGACGGCACCGACACAGGATGGGGATGATACAATCCCCCCACAGAAGCAGATGACGAGACACTTCCACCGACACAGGACACGGAGACTGCAGAGTGTGATATGCCATTATTGGGTGAAGAACCAGGTTCCGACCCGGCTCTGATGACAGGAACGGAGGTGGGCGATATGGCACGATTGGACGAGATAACATCATATGGCGGTTTGGAAATTATGGTTCTAAGATTATGTCTTGCATTAATTGATTTCAAATTTTCTACATACGCTCCTTACAATAACATGTAATCTTTTTTTTGTACCAGTTGGTTCGTCCAAGAAAAAACAAGGGAGAGGGGCGGCAAGAATGCCGCGTGGATGGGGAAAAGATCACAAGATGCTTGTATTCACATCGCTTGATGGTAAAAGCATTTTTGGACCCGACGTAAATGAGTACAAGACAACTATTGGGGTTATTGCACGCAACGGAGCTCGACTTCCTCTACATTACCCCACGTTTGCTGAAATACCGGAGACGAAGAGACATGGTGCATGGATGGAGGTTCAGGTCATGCAATGTTCATATAAAATGAAATTTCTTTAATTTCATTATAGTTGTATATATGGTCCTACTATCTTGTTTGTACCGGGCGATAACCATGTCAAATGTCATTGCAGAGTCACAGCAGATTACCAGACTCAGCAGAGAAAGTTGTCATGGCTGACCTAAGGGAAGTTTGGAGGCATTGGAAATACAACATCAAATCAACCTACTTCAATCCTATCGAGGACGACGAGGAAGCATTGAAGAAGGTTCCCTCAAGCAGGATCGTGCCCGATCAGTGGCCAAAGTTGGTTGAGTACTGGCGCGACGAAAAGGTGAAGGTATGCAATAGGGACCAACCAAATTAATATACGTTATATCTGCACAGGCCTATGGTGAGAACTAAATTATTCTTATTTACGTAGCTTCAATCCAAGAAAAATGCGTCAAATGTACGGAAAAGAAGCTTTCCGCATCGTACTGGGCAAAAGTCCTTCACAACTCTCGCCGAGGAGGTACCTTGCAGAGTTGAAGGCAATGATGGCTGAGTTTAAAAATATCAAGTGTGATGTGTATGCATTCATGCAGAAAAACTCCGGAGCAGTTACTGGCCAGGCAGTAAGTATTCATAATATCTGTACATTTTGTATGAGTATCCCATGAGATTCGGATGGCTAATATGGGAATTTACCATGATATGTGCATAAATGATAGGGCACATCTCGTATTGATTCAGTCTCTGAGCTTCCCAAGCCTGTGTCCGAGCCAGGTCTGACGGTATGATTCCGTCAAACCCTAAAGTTTCTTAGTAATCAGTGCAGTGCCTAATTTAGGCTACTCTTGATAGCCTACTATGTTTCCAACTCATCTGTAATATTTTGTTGTAGGTCGGCATGCATGTGCTTCTATTATCCTATTCCGGTGAGAAAAAAGTTGTTGCGGAGGGACTTCTGCTCTGCCCCCCTGCGCCAGGTTGGTCCCATTGTCTTAAAGGTTTTTTTTTTGGAACTTTTAATATGCCTCGGCGAGGGATCGTAGGTTTTGTGACCGTTCGGGCCTCATACTGCAAATGATCATGGTTTTCTTGAGTCTAAACATATACAATGTTACGATATGTGGATTTGTTTGTGTTATGTACACTGTTAATATAGAGGCAGTAAAATCAGTGGTATTATGCCAACTCCTGTGTTGGTCTGGTATTTTTTATCTATTACATTACATTGTTTATGGCTACGCTGCTATTACACTATTTGGGTACACCATGACTTTCCCCAAAAATATTGAAAGTTGACTTTATTATTGAAATCCTATGTAGTCCTTTGCTGCCAAGGTGTATCTATTGTTAGTGATGACTTTGGTACATATAATTTGATATATCAGTGGTCGATACTCTGAACTTGGAACTGCATATGCGGATGTCTGCTCGTATTTAGTGCATAAATGGTAGTTAATCTCATTGAGACATAGTACTACGGCACATACATGGAGCCCTCCCATTTGGGGGTTGCCATAGGGATATCGAACTTCGAAATATTTTTTTTATTTGATATTGTACATGATATTGCTGGTTTACATTTCTTTATTGGAGGATGATTGGTTTATAGATCGAGCTGCAATCACATAGGAAATTAGGATATAATGTGCTTTCGTACCTAATTCATGGATATAATACCATGTATTGTACGACATGTCTTAATATACATACCCGTATTGTTCTAGTTGCAGAGCTTTACACTTCTAATGTCTGTGTTATGGCATGTTATACATACAGTTTGAACGTCTGTTGATATATACGGCTCAATATACTCAAAAATTGCACTTGTGGATGCTGTAGGTGACACACTTTCCCTGGTCAAGGTCTTCGTGACATCCGCCTTAGTCCCGGACACACCCCTTATTTTGCCGACCATTGCTGGGTCGACTACCCTTCGCAATGTCATTGGTGAAGATCCTATTGAGTGGAACTACAAGGACGTACAGACCTACTTTCATACCTTTCTTGTATTTCCTTCCAAACTTTATAAGAAATATGATTTAAACTAATCTTTGTATTGGCAATTGCAGCTCATGCGCCGTCCCTGAAGTGTATCTACCGATTCACCCATGTTAGTTTCCCCGTTTGTCTTATGGATTGTATGTCGTACCTGTTTTTGGATGGATTGTGTTGAGGCTGTGTGAACTATATGTGGAATGGATGCATAGACCATTGAAGTTTTAATTCATGTGGTGAAAGATGTGGTTATGGATTGATGGATATCCGTACTTGCTTATTGTTAGGTTTGGTGTTTGAACTGTTAGGCCCGTTTTGCGGAACATGATGTTGTTGTGCAGTGCTTGCTAGGCTTGTTTTATGGGTTGCTTTACTTCGTTGTTAGGTATGGAGATTGTCCAGTAAAAACAGTGTTGTCCATTTGCCTTAATGTTGGGATTCAGATTTTACTATGAATTAATGTTTGCAAGTATTACCAATGATGATGATTGTAGCATTATGTGTGTACGGAATTTCTTCGGTATTGGAGAGATCACAGCAGGTCATTTTGTTACGCACAATTTCAATTGCAGTGTAACTACTATTTTTCATAGCATGCTATTTTTGCGTAACAAAAGGATGAAATACCGTGACAAAAAGTGGTCATTGGATATTTGTTGTTTCAGGTTGTTCCGTGACTATAGGAAGTATATTTTTTTATTACGGGTTCAATGTCGTTACAAATATTCGTAACAAAAACCAAATATGACAAGCGATCACAGGAACATTTTTGTAACGCGACGACCTTTCGTAACAAATATCGTAACTAAAAGGTCTGACATACGCGCGGAAGGATCGACATTTGGTTACGAGAGGAAATTCGTAACAAACAGCGTAACAAAAATCCTGCATTATAGAGCGTTGACCGACAGTAATAGTTACGAAAAATGGCGTGGCAAAAAACATTCGTTACGTGAGTACACATTACGGAAAAAAGTCGTAACGAAGGCGTAGCAAATACGCAAATTGCACGAAAAATGACGTTTTGTTACGATTTTCCGGCCGTAGTAGAAAACAATTTTTTTAGTAGTGTGTTGAGGCTGTGTGAACGATATGTGGAATGGATGCATAGACCATTGGAGTTTTAATTCGTGTGGTGAACGATGTGGTTATCGATTGATGGATATCCGTACTTGCTTATTGTTAGGTTTGGTGTTTGAACTGTTAAGCCCGTTTTGCAGAATAGGATGTTGCTGTGTAGTGCTTGCTAGGCTTGTTTTATGGGTTGCTTTACTTCGTTGTTAGGTATGAAGATTGTCGAGTAAAAACTGTGGTGTCCATGTCACTTAATGTCGGGATTCTTATGGATACTATGAATTAATGTTTGCAAGTATTGCCAATGATGATGTTTATAGCATTATGTGTATACGGAATTTCTTTCGGTATTGGGGAGATCACAACAGGTCTTTTTGTTACGCACAATTTCAATTGCAGTGTAACACCTATTTTTCGTAGCATGATATTTTTGCGTAACAAAATGATGAAATACCGTGACAAAAAGTGGTCATTGGATATTTGTTGTTTCAGGTTGTTCCGTGACTAATGAAAAATATATTTTTTATTACGGGTTCAATGTCGTTACAAATATTCGTAACAAAAACCAAATATGACAAGCGATCACTGGAACGTTTTTGTAACGCACCGACCTTTCGTAACAAATATTGTAACTAAAAGCTCTGACACACGCGCGGAAGGATCGACATTTGGTTACGAGAGGAAATTCGTAACAAACAGCGTAACAAAAACCCTGCATTAGGGAGCGTTGACCGACAGTAATAGTTACGAAAAACTGCGTGGCAAAAAACATTCGTTACGCGAGTACACATTACGGAAAAAAGTCGTAACAAAGGCGTAGCAAATACGCAAATTGCACGAAAAATGGCTTGTTGTTACGATTTTCCGGCCGTAGTAGAAAACAATTTTTTTAGTAGTGTCGTCCAGCTCAAAAATTTGATACCATTCTCACAAAATGTTATCTAATATAAGTATTTCATTCAATAAAAGTCAACTATATCAATAATAAAAGCCAACAATTTAAACATACAAAATACTATTTTCTACAATACAATTGAAATTTCTCGTATCTAACAACAAAATTATTAAAATTATAAATACTAAACAAACAAATTCTTTGTTTTACATACGTTTTAAAACTTATATAGCTGGACATAAGACATCCAACTAAGTAATAGATTGTCATGTCCATATTGAAATAATTTGTGTTTATTTTTTTATTTCAAATAAAAAATCTTATTATTCATTTTGAACATCATTTCGAACAGTTTATCATTTCGAACAGTTTTCAATAAAAATATATATTCTCTTGCATAAAATATTATATGGATGATATTATCTAAACAAAAATTTAAATTACTACTCTAATTTTAAATCAAAACCAAACAAACAGATATTGAAATAGTTGATCATATCATCCTACACTATGTACATTGGTTATTAAAGCTTGGTCCAAAGTGACAAAGAGTAGGGAGAAATTACCATCCTATACATTTTTTATTATTACTCACACCACATCCACACTCACACCATCAACCTCAAGCTTGTAGAGAGTCGATATAATGTAGTTCAAGTGGTTGAATTTTTCTTTGGCATACTTGAAGTAGGTAAAAAAGAAAAAGAAAAACCTAAAGCATGTAAAGAAAGAGCTTAATTGCTTGAGCTACGGTCCCTCTACTTATTGTATTCCATTATATATTGTATTTGAACCTCAATAAAAGATTTTATCTTCGAGGGTAAGTTTGTTGACAATTGAGGCCGTTTGATCGGGAATGAGTTTGTTTTTTGACTTGAATTTTGATTTAAACAAGTAAATTTTTAAATTTGAATAGTTATTTCATATAATATAAATAAAAATTATTGTGATTTTTTAAATATAAAATTAGTTTTTATTATAATATAAAAATATATATATTTTATTTGATATTTTAAATCATTTTTTTATAAATAGTAAAAATCAAATAAAGTAAGCCAAACGTGGAAGATGATACATCTGACTAAGAAACAATGCATGAGAAGTATTGGTGTCTAGTAGGTGTGAGAAGTTCACCATCTTGTACTTATAGTCATCCTCCTTCACACCTTTCTCCGGGTCTACCCAGTCGCATTTTAGTAGAAGGAACCGGTTTTCATTTTTGTACTCCACCTCTACAATGTCAGTCACTAGGCCGTAATATGCAACAGATCCAAAACGTGGATTTACATCTTGACACTTGCTTAGCTCGTGGTTTAGGCAGTAACCATGACACCAGCACACTGAATCTTTTTCGCCTCATCTCGTGACTTAACTCGAAAACGGACCCCAGAAACAATGCATGACTTGTACCTTGTCGCGTGATGGTTAGGATCACGGGCTGATGTCTTCATAATCTCAGTGATTTTCCCCTCGGCGTTGTGCGTAAGTTCTTCAACCTACACGTAGATAAAGTATAAAAAATCCTAGTGCTTGAATGACCACCAGGTAATTTATCACGAATAGCATGTACTCAAGCAACTTTCTACCGACATAATTTTGAAACCATCTAGGAAATTGTTCATTATGGATCTGTTGAACTTCTCGGGGAAATTGTTCATTATACGATCTAGGAAACCATCTAGGAAATTGTTCATTATACGATCTTCGAACAGTTATAAGTCTACATCTGCAGCACCTCGTTGTTCAATAACTTAATCCTACAAATGAAAGTTGATGAAATGAGTATTATTCGACCATGAAACACTCAATTTCAGAAAACACATCCATACTCGGTATTTATCCAAGACAAATTATAAAACCAAACTCGCTATTTACCCAGTAAAAATGTGAAATAATTCATACAAGAAGATTATCCAAAACCCTAGAACACTAAAGAAACTAAAAATCAATTTTTATAGCTTCAAAATAAAATGCCCTAGGTTTTAACTCACCACTCGATTTCGTGAGAACTATAATACGGCGAGGAAGATTTACGGTGCCCATAACTCAGAGAACACGAGCGTCAAACCAGCCACAGTAGATCGGAGTGAAGTGTAGAGTAGATCATGTTGTTGTGTGTGGATCGGGAGGCGATTTGGGGGAAAAGAAAAAAGGCAGCGTGCGTATGTATGGAATTGTACACGGATGGGAAAGTGTTAATATATGTTGAGAAATAAGAGAAAGTGCTAATATGTTTTTTATCCTTATTCTTTTTAAATTATTATATTTTTATAATATTCTATATATATATTTTTTAAGTGGTTAATATATATTGGGAAAATGGAGAAAGTGTTAATACGATTTCTATTCTTGATTACTTTTTAATTATTATTTTTTTAAAATAATTTTATATAGATTGTTTTTTAAAAAAATATTTATAATTATAATATTGATTTTTTGTTACGGTTTTATATATAAAAAATACATACAGGATCACGTATTGTTATAATTGTAGTTGTTACGGATAAACTATCGAAACAAATAAAAATTATTTTTTAATTATCATTTCTTTGATTGAATCTTATATAGATTTTTTTAATTATTTATTATTTTACTATTGTCTTTTTATTACAATTTGATATACATAATAAATACATATATACCAAATCTCGTTACAATTATAGTTGTTACGAATAAATACTCAAAATAAAAATAAAAAAATATTGACCAACACAATATTTTTTTTGTTCCAACAAAAATCGTAACAAAAACCACTTTTTTGTGACGGAACTATTGTTACGAACAATATATCAATTACAAACGATTGATTTTTTGGTAGCGTGTATTCATCCTCCAACAAATTAATTTGATCCCATTCACAAAGCACATAATATTAGAACATGTACTATATGAAAAATACCTTGTCTTTTTATTATTATTATTATTATTATTATTATTATTATTATTATTATATTTACTACTAATAAAATCAAATCAATACAATGCCAATCAGCACCCTAAATGTAGCGCAGCTTGACATTTAGGGCACGATATACACAGAAAAATATTGGACTCCACCTTTAAAAATATTAAAATTTAACCATACGGAACACTAACAAAATATAATCCTTAATATCATTTTAATCAACTTTGTTAAATAATTATCCTTAATTGAAGAATTGTTACGAATCACCAGCTTTTAGATTAGTAAACAAGTGATTAGACTCTAATCAGTAAAAGTAAATACATCCTAAACGAGCATTTCTTTTCGCATGCCACACATACAAAGGGGAACATTGATAACGAGTGATATTATGCACAACACACGTAATAATCTGACTACTTCAGCGCATATATAGCAGCAAATTCGACGCAACATGGTACCTCGTGAATTTGTCATAACGGGTTTAAGACTACATCCGAATCAACACAAGTTCTAGAGATGAGCTCGCTGGCTCGCTGTCTGTCATCGAATGCATGCAGAGTACAAATATTATGAGCTGTTAAAGTATCTTAATCAGTGCAGACAGCATTAATAGAAGATGACGATGATAAGTAGCAACAGATGGGACCAGCCTCGGGTTTTTGGTTCTAACTCCATGTCTGTCTGCACTTAAGAGAATCCTACAATACAACAAGAAGATGGGTGCTACTATGCAGGGAACATGGTACAACCTCACGATGCCCAAAAACGGGTTTTTCATCTCTTTCTGCGCTTCGGCGTTACCTAGTAACAAAATCAAATACAAACAAGCTAGCAAGTTAGCATTTGAGAGCATTAGATATGATATATGGGAAGTAGGGTTGCATTCTTTGTTTTAGCATAAGCAACTTAACAAAGGGGTTAAATAGTATTTTGATGTTATGTTTCGTGAGAGAAAATAGTATATTTTTATTGAAAACACTGTCAATATCAAGTGAATAGCCTTGATTTTAGTTTGAAATATTAAAAGAACACACCATATAATTAGAATTTTCTAATCTATTTAACCATCACTGAAAAGATCATTGAATCAATAACTTATCGCCCAACATAATACCCCAAGAGGAGTGAAGTTTGTAAGTAAGTATTTCATGCTAGCGAAACAAAAGAACAAGATAAATAAAAAGCCCAAGTTAATTACAGCTTTGAGACTATACGAGCTTCAGAATGGACATTCAGTTGCATTACAAATTAGAATATATATATATATATACATGGTATAAGAAGCCATTAACATAAATCAAAGAAACAAATTCTAAATATTCATCAAATCAATAAGTTGGCTGCGATAATATATAGCATTCTTTTTAACTTTTTTCGAGTCCAACCTTATACTCAACTCCAAATTGTTATTAATGTTCGTAGCAATTGTATGCTGCCATGATTAATATAAAGCAATTTATCTTAGGAAAAAACTCATGTGTTACCTTTTCCTCATCAGTAGGAGATACAAGGGATGAGTTCAAAGACCTTTTCGCATCATCATCGGACGAACAATCCGAACATGAGAAACGGTCTAGTTTCTTTGCTTCTTCAATGGTCATGTTCATGCAAGAAGGATGGAACCTAAAATTGAAAGACCAATGAAATAAAAGCTTGGGTTAAAATCCAAACGCAAACTTTAAAACCAAATAACATGGAAATAAACATATCTGACAAGAATTAAGCAGCAAATTGTGTCTGAAAGATATATTTGTTCTTTGGAATAAACAACACAGATATTACCATTAAAGCAAGTCAACAATTTAACATTAGCCACAAGAATTGTTTTTAAGCAACTTTAATGTACTAATTGGCCCCAAAGTTAAATTGGCAGCATACTTCATACAACTTTCAAAACAAAAATCAAGAAAATAAAAAGCACAATAATGATGAAATATATCACAGGAAAATCTAGATCCAAAGTTTAGTGCTTCACCACGATATAGAACAAAAGTATAATACCAGTCCTTGCATTCTTCACATTGCACCATAAGATCATCGGGATTATATGGCATCTCACACTTGCAATACCTTCAAAATCACAAAAGCAATCAAAGTTCCTAAAATTAATGAGAAAACTTGAAATTATATCGAACTGAAAAATAATTCCAAACTCAAAACTTACACCGCAACACGATCCGGAGTAAACCCTCCGGTAACAGCCTTGTACTCAAACCTACAAAAGTAATCCTCGGCACCCACATTTGCTAGCTTGGTATAGTTCTTGAAACTGTGCACGGTGCACTTGCCTTCAATGGTTTGTGCACTCTGCACATCGTAGTGGTCTGATAAAAAGAGCTCCTTGGCACCATGAAACTGCCTGCGACCTCCTATGGATTCTTCAGGACGGTAGTACCACTGGACACGCACCTTTATATTATTCCGATGATCAGATTCAATCTTCTCTACTTTTGCCACGTAAGGGGGCTTGTTTGAGTCTGCTGGTCTCATTACTACACAATCCCCCGCTGCAAAATCACCCAACCCAATAATAATTAACCATCGTACTCCAGAAGTTCATCTTATATAGTCAGTATTCGGCATAGAATTATCACAGGCAAATGATTTTAGAGAAGAACGTACCATTCTTCAAATAGAATTTCATTATAGCTTAACACAGTCATTCAAATTAATCATTCCAATTTCAGTTCGAATTTAGTATTGAATGAACTAAATATGAATGAAACAGTAATTTCAGATCTCAGCACAAGAGATCCATGTTAGAATTTTCACCGACACCCAATTATGGAAAAATAGTTCCCATACAAAGCTTCATTAAAGTAAATAAAAATATATACAAAATGATATGCCGTTCCAGTGCAAGGCTTCACTAAAAAGGAAAGAAACTGGGGGAGCGAGGGTATATGTAGGAGAAACTAAATACACATAACTACAAAATGATGTAACTCCATAGCATCTTAAATCCTTAGGCGAGGTAGCAATTTAATATTCAATTATACAATCTATAATTAAAATCACCCTAAGAAGTAATAACAATCTCTGTATTTTACTACATAATATATCATAAGAAAACAAACCAAATCAAAGTATAGAGATCCTAAAGCTCTACAATATTCACATAGCCATTAACTCTATATAACACATTATATCTCCCACTGAAAAGACAGTAAAGAGAATTTCAAAATCCAGCTTATCATCTGAATAACGCACACAAATTTCCATATTTTGATAGATTGCAAAAACGATAACCAGGCAGGAGCACAATTCAAGAACACTAAACCAAACCATACCCAAAATCAAACCAAAAACAATGAATATTCTAACCAACAGAAGCCATAACACACCCAGGCAGCCAGCATTGTGGACGAAAACTATAAAAACAAAAAAATAACTAGAAAATATGCACAGGCACATACATATCGACAAGGAAACGTAAAAGGCAATGTAGGAAGAAGAGACGTACGTCTGACAACTTTGTTGGTCCCACGAATGGTGTAAGAATCGAGTTCCTTCTTCCCTGGCTTGGTCTTCGCCATTTCTTCTCTTCTCCCAGCTCAGCAACGAACTATCGGCGAGATTTCAGGAAATGAATTGAAATGTGGAAGGGACAACTGTCCAGCTTCTAATATGGCCGTAAATTGGTCGATTCAATTTGCAATTTGGAAGGCAAAGAAACCCTAATTGCAGGAATGGTAATGTCGTAGAGGAGAAATGGGAGTCAGTGTGTTCGGTGGAAGAACACTGTACGGCCTTCACTATGCCCATTGCATTCACGGAGGGTAAATTTAAAAATAAATAAAATAATATTTTGCTTCAATTGTTCGGAAATTTTGAAATTTTTTTTATTTAAACAAAAAATAAATAAATAAAAATAATAGTATATTTTTAATATAAAATTAATTTTTATTATAATATAAAAAATAAAAATAAATAAATATTTAATTTAATATTTTTAGATTTTTTTTATAAATAATAAAAATTTGATAAAATGTAATAAAAGAATATAATTGTCCAGTAAAGGATGGTGTAGCTATGTGTGAGAGAAGTGAACTTGTGACTATAACTCATGGTTCGCCTAATGTGACTTATCTTGTCCGAGCCTAATTTGCAGGTATTAAATTCGGTTGGAGGTTTAACCAAAGCGTACTTTCGGGTAGCGGCCGCGGGTTTTCACGTCATAAAATAATAATAATAATTTAACATAAAATATAATTCTAATAATAAAATATTTTCGATTAATATTAAAAAATATAATATATATAAATTTATACAAAATATATACTTCCTCCGTCCCACATCATTTGTCGCTATTTTCTATTTTCTTCTGTCCAACATAATTTGTCACTATTTTTTACTTTCGTCTGTCCCACATAATTTGTTCTTTCTTTTTTTGGAAATACGATTGTACACTTTAATTATATTTTAAATTTTAAATTTTATAATTTTTTTTAATATTAATTATACTATTTAGTTATCTTAATCTTAATATATAATTATTTTTATTATATCATAATTATTTTTACTAATACACTTCTTAATTATTTACATATTACTCCCTCCGTCCCACATACCGTGTCTGCTACACTGTAGACACGGTATTTTATGAGGGGTGTAATTAGTAGATAATTAAAAATGTATTAATGAAAATAATTGTCCTATAATATAAATAATTATAAATTAAAATTAAGATAACTAATTAGTTTAATTAAAATTACAAAAAATTAAAAAGTTTAAAATGAGATTAAAGTGTAAATCATTTTCCAAAAAATGAAAGTGACATGGAATGTGGGACGGACAGAAACAACAATATGGACATGGTATGTAGGACGGAGGGAATATTTTTTACTACCGACACTCTTTCTCATATTTAATATAAAAAGTTATTTTAAACTAAGATACAGAACTAATACACCAATCAAATAAATTTAAATTATTAATCTATTTAAAATATTTTCAGTAATATAATTAAATATAAATAAAATTAATTATTATAAATAAATATATGTATTTGTAGTACTCCCTCCATCCCATAACTATATATCTATTTATTTTTTGTGCGAAATTTTAAAAATATTATTATTATATTGGAATGTAGTAGGAATAAAGTAGAAATAACTAAAATAACCTTATTAACTAATGACATTTGTGTAATATATTGTAAGTGGTAAGGGTATTTGTAATGTTAGGTAGATAATAGAATGACTAAAAAAAATGGATAGTTTGTTATGAGACGGACTAAAATAAAAAAATTGATAGTTTGTTAGAGAACGGAGGGAGTAGTATATTTAAATAAAATATTATATTGTTATAGAACCAATAAAATATAAAATATAATTTAAACATAATAATATATAGACATATAATATTAAAAAATAATAAATGATTTTTTTTGTTAGATAAGATGGTACAATGGTAAAATGTGAAATACATGGAATGAGATTTTAAAGTAACAGGGAGTAGTCTATTACTAAAAAAAAATCATTTATTTGCGGTACTTTAAAATCTCATTCACTTTAAATTCAATTATATATTTTTTACCAAATATAAATTTATTGGGATTTTAAAATCCAAATTCCATGGAATTCCACAAAATTTACAGACCAAACAACCCCTTAGCATTTTATTTATTACATATAGCTCTCTGATTGTAATTACTACATTTTCTACCTATAAAATTGCTACTTTACCTCTAAATAATTTTATATTTATATTAAAATTAATTTTACATTAAAAATTATCTTATTAATACATATTTATATTAACTAAACAAAAAGCTATTTAAACTTATTTTATTATTAACATGAATTGAAAATCCAAATATCGAACAAAAAGCTATTTAAACTTATTTTATTATTAACATGAATTGAAAATCCAAATATCGAACCAAATATATCGTTAAAATTTATTAATTATAAAAAAAATTTTAAAAAATATTAAAATTAAATTTATTTTTATTTTTTAAAATTTCAGCTACATCCGACCTAAGTCCGATTTTTTATATTATACCCGAGTCGAGTTTTCGAATTTTTTAGTCATTTATTTTTTTATCAGTTTTAACTAAACGTAATTAAAAATATAATTTTGAAATAATTGTAAGTAAAAAATTAAATAGATTTATAATTTGAATTGGTTAAGATTTAGTTGTCACTAAAAAAATTTTAATTTTATTTTTTTTGGAAATTAGCGTAATTGAGTGGAAGAATTAAAAGAGGAAAGATACGTAATTGGACGGGACAGAGGGGATACTTTTTAGCTTATATACGTTTCCATAAAAATATATGTATTTGAAATACTTAGTCTATAAAGTTTGTTCACTTTGTATTTTTAGATGAAAGTGTTTTATATTAGGCATAGAGAATTATGTAAAAATAATACTTTGTGTATAGAGAATATATTAGTAATATAAACAATAATATTTTGTGTAGAATTTTTGATTTGTTTGTAAATGAATAAAATATGTTATATATATTAACGTGTGTGTATATTGTAATTTTTAATAATATTTATTGGGAACGTTCCACATAAAAATGCTATGTGAACAAACTTAAAATTACTCATACTATATTTAATTGAGATCCATAATTTTCATAAAAATTTTATAGGGTAACTTGGATTAAAATCCCTATAACGTAAAAGAGATTTAGGGGGTGTATTCAATTGAGATTTTAATTGATTATTTTTAGATTTTAAAAAATTTATGAATTTCTATGTATTCAATTGAAATTTCTATGGATTTTAATAATTGATTTAGATATATTTTTACAAATTTGATTGAATTTTTTATGGATTTATATGAATTTTATAGCATTGAATAATAACTTTTTTATTGATATATAATTATATAAATTTATATAAACACAACTTTTATAAATATAATATATTTATAAATAAAATTATTATATATTATTATATTTTTATAAAATAAAATTAATAAATAGATAATAGTATATAATTATTAATAATGTAAAGATATTATAATATATACTACTATAACATTACTACTCCCTCTTTTCCATTGAAAGGTTAACATTTTTCATTTTCGTCCGTCCCAAAACAAGGTTACCATTTTCTAATTTAGTAATTGTACTACCTACTTCACATAATAAATACACTTTCAACTTACAATATATTACACAAATGTCATTACTTTGGTATTACACCATACTAATAGGGGTATTTTTTGTCTTTTTTTTTACTACAATCCAATATAATACTAATATTAAAAAATCTACGTGCAAAAAGCAAACGTCACTCTTGTGGCGGGACGGAGGGAGTATATTGTATTAGTATATTAATATTTTTAATTTTATAAGTTTTAGTATTATATTATCATTCAATATATCAAATTATTTTTATATTTTTTTTAGTTATTATTAATATTTACATAACAAATAAATATGTATATAAATAAAATAAAAAACATAATTTATGATTTTTAAAAAATATTTAAATAAATATAAACTAACGATTCAACGAAAGAAAAATATATAAATATCTATTCCACGTATACCCACATTACAATATAGTATATTCGATAGTTGAAAAGTAAGAATAATATTGGAATGACGGTATATTGTATTCAACAATTGAAAAAAATGAAAGTAATATATATTTATTATGATAATAAATTTTTTTAAATATTATATTTTCAAAAAAAAAAAATTTGATAATAATTCGCTAATATATTTTAGTTTTAAATTATATTTTTATTAAAAATTATAATAATATTAATAAATATTATCATATTATTTATTACGTATAAACGACGACCACAACAACAACAACAATAATAATAATATTTGTAAAAATCTATCAAAATCTCTATCTATTATGAGAGATTTTATACTATACAAATCTTTCATAATTTTTTTATCAAAATTTAATAAAATTCATAGACTTTAAAATTTTATAAATTGTTGAATACCTCCAAATTTTAAAAGATTTTTAAAAGTTTGGATTGAATACCTTTGGATTTTAAAAACTTTTAAAAGTCTGAATTGAATACCTTCAAATTTTAAAAAACTTTTAAAAATTTGGATTGAATACACCCATGTTTTAAAAATCCAACAAAATCCTATGGAATCAAGATTGAATACACTCTCATTATATTTAGTTTCTCTAAATTAACACAAAGCATTGCACTCCCCATTTTTTTTTATTTACATTTGACTCTCTACTACCCATTTTACCGTTGAAAGCACAAAATAATGTAACAAATATTTTATTTACTTCTATTAATTTTATATAAACCTACAATATCTATTTATATATTCCAAAATTATCCCGATGTACAAATAAAATTTCAAAGTAATGTGCTTGGGTTTTTAATTTATATACTGGGATGAGTTATGAAAATATAAACAAAAAAACAAAAAGCAAAACCTAGATAAAATTCACGATCTTACATTGTGAATAAGTTAATTTCTTCTAAACGTTTCTCTTTCCACTCAGTCCATTGCTACCGAGCACTACATAGAAATCATCTTCGTCGAACCTCTCCGCAAAAACCATTGCCGCTGCTGGAAGTATCATTGGCTACCAAAATCTCAAATCATGCTTGAAATGTAGAAAAGGTCTTCCAAAACCGGAGTTCGAAAAAATAAGTTAAAGTTTATATTTTTAGAAGAATCAATATTTTAATTTTGGAATTTTGAGTTCGTGGTGTGCTTTAATCTATTCTTTTTGTGCCTCGGTTGGGTTTGTACAAGCCACCGTACTGAGCCTTTTTTTTTTGTATCGTATCGCATCAT